TTTAAATTCATACCCTTGATACCTTTAGAAGTCCTTGATAACAGATGTTACAAGGCAGCACATCTTTTCATTCCTTGACTGATGCCACCTTGGATATTGATTGTAGATCCACGTAAAGTGAGACCATTAACAACTTCAATCTTTTCTCTGTCTGTCGTGATACAGTGCCCGTTGGTAGTGGGAATTTTTGTTTGATATTGAAATGTAATCCATATTGAAGGCTGTACTCTGATTTTCTTCAATAAGTGCTTTTAGTCTTTTTCACTTTCTCCAAGCAAGATTATGTCATTTTCTTAACACAGGTTGTTGAATCTTCCTCCAACCACATTCATTTTCCTGTAATCTTCTTGTTGTTGATTGCCATTGAGTTGAGTGCGGCTCATAGCAACTCTGTGAACAAAAGTGTCATCATTTCACCAAGTTCATAGTGTTTCCAGAGGCATGTGATTTAGGAAGTGGATGCTACTCCTGCTTCCAAACCTGTTTTGCAACTGGGAGCTCCACAAAACACTGTCCACATTGGGAAGCCATTCTGGCATATGATACCCCAATGGCACAAGGTTCAGCATCACAACAACCCAGGTTACTTCATACTGTGCATTGACAAAGAGTGATGTACAAAGTGGAAGAGTGTTCCTCCAGATATAATAGCACTGGTCTAACTCTTTGAATAGTTTGCTCAGCATACAGGTTGAACAAATATGGAGAAAGCCTACAACCCTGATGTACATCTTTCCTAATTTTAAACATGTAACTGCCAGATGTGCAGGCTGTGTTTAGAAGAGGCTATGGTACTAGAGATATTACAGCTAATGTTAGATGGGTCTTAGCTGAAAACAAGAGAGTACCAAAGAAATGTTCTGTTTCATTGACTATGCAAAGGCATTTGACTGTGTGGATCACAACAAACTGTGTTTGAATCTGAGAAGAATGGGAATCCAAGAACATTTGACTGTACTTACCTGAACAACCTGTACTTGAACCAAGAGGCAGTCATCAGAACAGAGCAACACTGCATGGTTCAAAATCAGGAAAAGTATGCACCAGGGATGTATCCTATCTCCATATCTTTTCAGTCTGTATGTATAACAGATCATCTAGGAGACTGAGTTTCCTGAGGAAGAATGGGGCATCAGAATTGGAGAAAGACTCGTCAACAATCTGCGTTACACAAATACTACTATCCTGCTTGCTGAAACTCAGGAGGACCTGAAGCACTTGGTGCAGGAGGTCAAGGACTGAAGCTTTCAATATTATTTGAAGCTCAGCATTAAGAAAATAAAGATTCTCACCACTGGACCAATGATGGATGGTGAAGAGACTGAGATTATTAACAGCTTTTTTTTTTTTTTAACAATAAACACTCTTGGTACCAGCAGCCAGGAAATCAAGAGACTAATTGAACTGGGAAAGTCAGCTGTCACAAACCCATTCAGAGTACTGAAAAGCAACAGTGTTAGTCTCGGAACTAATGTGCACCTCATCCATGCCATGGTCTTCACAGTTACTTGCTATGTGCATCAGAAAGCTGGCCAATGACTAAGAAAGATAGAAGGAGAATTGGTACCTTTGCATTGTGGTGCTGGAAAAGAGGATTAAATATACCATGGACTGCTGGGAGAACAAACAGGTTCATCCTTGGAGGCAAGGATTCTGAAACATCACCTGACATACTTTGGGCATATTGCAAGGAGGGACCACTCCTTGGAGAGGGACGTCATGCTCGGGAGGGTTGGAGGGACAGCATAGGAGAGGAAGACTCTCGGTGAGATGGATTAATTCAGTGACTGGGATAATGGGGGTAGATGTGTCAGAGACAGTAAGATTGGCACAAGATAAAGCAGAGTTTAGAGCTGTTGTACATAGTCACTATGAGTTACAGGCAACTTGAAAGCACATAACAACAGCAATCTCTTTTGTTTCCAACATTTGTATTCAAGTCACCAGTTAATACTAATGCATCTTATGTGCATGTTTGATCATTTATAGATTGCAAAGGTTGGTAGAAATCCTTAATAGCTTAATCTTTGGATTTAGTAGTTATTGTGTATATTTGAATGATACATTAGGGAATCTCCCTTGTATGCATGTGGGTGTTATCCTGTCACTCACTATGGAGTTCTTCAGAATAGATCTTGAAATGTTCTTTTTGCCATTAAATGCAACACCATTTCTCTTCAGTAATTTAAAAATGGCTAGTATTAGTCCATCTCAGCTCACTAATGCCTAGTATGTTTAGCTTTTAAAATTTAATTTCTTTTTTGACAACTTCCACTTTTTCTAGAATCCGTGCAATCTATGCTTCAATTATCAGAGGATGCTAACTTCATTTATCTTCCTTTCAAGTCTTGTCACATCTGTAGATGAAGGCCCTTCATTGTGTGAAAGCTTTGCTGTATCCATGTTAATACAGTCAACTAGTGTTGAGGATTGCAACTCTCTCTCCACTGGCTGTTCGGTGGGAGAGGGTCGGGCATTCTCTTCCCATGTGATTTACAGAAGCTGAGAACCTGCTGGAGGGTCAGCAGGGAATCATCCCCAGCTCCACGGCACAGAACTGGAGTTTTCTACCTTGAGGAGGGAGGTCTTCCCGTGCCATCCAGCCTAACGGGCTCATCTTCTGACAGGAGAACCAGCAGTGTTCTTCTCTTATTCATGGAATCTTTTAAAAGCTTGTTTCAGAAGTAGATGATCAGTCCTGTTTTATTTAAAGTCAGGCTTAGTCTGGAATCTCCAGTGAAACCTGAGTAGGATTGGTGACCCTGCTGGTATTTACAGTGCTGGTGGCCTAAAGGTTAGCATCAAAGCAAAGTAGAAGCAACCAGATCCAGCACACGGAATGGCAGCAGACTGTGTAGTTGGCAGGCTGCTTTTTTCCTGTTGGGTTTTTTTTGTTGTTGTTACACTTTATTACATCAGATGGGCTTTTGGGGACTCAGTCCTTCTTGGCAGCTGCCTTCCTCATGGCGGCCAGGATGTTGCTGAGTTCTTCTCGCCTCCCTCTTGGCACAGATGTGTGTCCCCACCCTTTTCTTGATGAACTTGAGGGCCCGCTTGGCCTTGGAGACCTTGAGCAGCTCCATGGTGTGTCGCCACACACCTCCCGGATCATGTCCCGCATGAACTTGGTGTGCTTGGTGAGACGCCCGTGCCGGCGGCTGTGCCTCGGCTTGCTCACGTTCTTGGTGACTTTGTGGCCCTTGTTAAGGCTCACGGCCATAGGATAGTACACAGCCATGGCCGCTGTACGTCTAGGGCTGCCTTTTTCCCGTTTTGTATTCTTGTGAAATCTTAAACACTCTTTCCAGTGGTTCATCGTGAATCATTGTACAGATGTGCTATTGTTTTCTTACATTGGTGAACATTTTAGGCACTCATACTTTTTATATATTTTATCATTGTTCTCATCCTACCCCACGCCATTTGGATGGAATGAAAAAAAAAAAAAAAGAATTACTAGTTGCTTTAAATTGCAATTCCCTGACTCTTGGTGAGGTCATATAATTTTCATGTTTGATTTCTCTATTGTAAGGATCTTTAAAAGCTATTTCAGATCTTTTGCGTATTTTCCTTTTCAGTTGTTTTTTTCCTATCTTGTAAAAGCCTTTCATGCGTCGTAGATACTGACCTTTGTCTTACATATGATAAGAATCTTCTCCCAGATCTGTCATTTCTAATTTTACTGCATTTAGTCATCAGAAATGCTGCTTCTTTTTTGGCTTGTTCTCCCCTCCCCCCCTTTTTTTTGGCTTCCATGTTTCTCTCTGATTAGAAATACTTTTTATAATAAACGTTTTGAATACACGCTTTGTGTGCATGCACACACACTTTTATCCTATGTTTTCTTTCCATAGTTTTAGCCTTTTGAAAGTGTGTGTGTGTGTGTGTGTATATATATATATATAAAATGAAAATGAGGGTAGGTGTGTTGGAGTCAGTAAGACTAGCTGAGAATAGGGCAGGTTTCAGAGCGATTATACACAGGGTCACTATCACTGTGAGTTGGGGGCAACTCGAGCACATAACAACATTCCTTCTGTTATAATTTTATGTGATGTAATGTGGGCATATAATTTTATTTTTTAGACAGATTGATTTTCTGTAACATTAGTGATTAGACTTTGCTCCATTTAATTAAAATGCCTTGTGTTTTATATTACATTTACAGACATACACATTTGTATTCTGTATTAATATCCAGTATATAGATTTAATTGAAACGTCACTTGTCTCCTTCATTAAGTTTGTTTGTATGACATGTGGGACTACTGACTGAAAGGTAAGCTGTTCGTCTCCACAGATGTTCCAAGAGAGACAGATAGGCAGCCTTCCTCCTGCAGATATTGACGGTTTTGGAAATCATGTGGAGGGTCTCCCTTATTTTGGACATATTTGCAGGAGGAACCAGTTCTTAGAGTCATTAGCCAGTAGATCTGTCTTGAAGGAAGTGTAACCAGCGTGGTGCTTAGAGGCAAGCATGGTGAAACTTGGTCTCACTCTGCACTTATTTTCAGGAGAAACCCGTCCTTGGAGAGAGACATCGTGCTGGGAAAGGTAGAGAGTTAGGGAAGCCCTGAAGGAGCTTGATGCATTGAATACTGCAGTGGATTGGAGCTTGACATGGTATGAGGGTGTTGTAGGATCAGGCAAGGTTCTGATCTCTTCATAAGGTCATAACTTGATAGCACTAACAATATCGAATTAACATTTTTTTGCCAAAATTAAAAGATCTTACAAGCAAAGTTATTGTTTTTTTTTTCATTTAGGTAGTTTCAGGGCCTTTAAGCTTCTTCCATGGAGTCACCTGATAACAGCTTGGTTCTTAATGAGCAAATCATGAGAATGAACAAAGGTTATTTCAAGTTTTCTTTATGAATGGAACAGTTAGATCCTTCTTTTCCCCATTATTCCATAAAACTTTGCATGTACACATGTATTCTGGATAAACTGGGTGTTGAATAGCTTTCTGTAGTTTTTAAAAGATCTTGTTTTGTCCTAAGGTTGCTACAACTATAATTACAAGACAGGGATGCTATGCAAAAGATGGATGTATTAAAGAAGATTCTTTCATGGAAAAACTACAGCCAAAAATGTATGTCCTATATACTCTTATTTTAGTATTTAAAATTTTATTTCTGAAAAAGTAGTGTTAAGTTTATTGATAAATGTCATTGTGTTTATAATAACTCAGTGTTTATAGAGTACTTTTGAAATTTACAGTTTGTCTTAGCTGTCAAGGGGGTGTGAAACCACCTTTTAAAGAAAGAAACTTACCTTTATTTAAAGTGGGGGAGGGGGAGAATACCATGTAAATAGGTAACAAAGCTAATGGTGCTGGATTAGAGGAAGCTTCAGACTACTTGGTTATAGAGGTGGTCCTTCCTCCATGGCCTTTTCCGTTCATTTTGCCTGTGTGGCCACTTACAGATAAGTGTCTGTCATTACTGACTGGTGGTGTTGTTGTTATGTGCCGTCCAGTCGTTTGTGACTCATAGCGACCCTATGTACAACAGCCCTAAACCATGCTCTATCCTGTGCCAATCTCATTGCCTCTGACACACCCATCCCAATTACCCCAGTCACTGAATCAATCCACCTCATAGAGGGTCTTCCCCTCCTGCGCTGTCCCTCCACTCTACCCAGCATGATGTCCCTCTCTAAAGACCTGTCTCTCCTTACAACATGTCCAAAGTATGTCAGACGAAGCCCCAGAATCCTTGCCTCCAAGGAGCAGCCTGGTTTAACCCTCTCTACGATGAATCTTTTCTTGGCCGTCCATGGTACATTCAATACTCTTCTCCAGCACCACAGCTCAAAGGCATCGATTCTCCTTCTATCCTCCCTAGTCATTGTCCAACTCTCTGATGGTAGTATGCCTTTAATAATGTCTACTTATGATGTCTATTTCTGGTGTACTGTCTTTTTCTAATGGTCCTGTGCTGATCACCTCATTATCGTATATTGCATTTTCTTTTTGGTGATAGTGTTAGGTTTTACATTTAGATGTTTGTCTTTAGTTATTTTTATTATGGTGAAGATAATGAACCTTGCATTTATTCACCCTTATAAATTGATACCCAGTTTTGCTGTGATCATTCATTAAAGGATACAGTCTTTACTTTAATGGATTTTTATTATTTGTCAAAGATCAGTTATCTAGATGGATTTACCTGTAGGGTCTCGATTCTTTCCCACTGTTTTGTATGTCTGTTGTACCAATATCAAGCTGTTTCAGCTACTGTAACTGTACAAAAAAAAAAAAATAACTCACTGCTGTCAAGTCAGGACAGACTCAGAGTTGACCCTCCACTGGGTTTTTGGAGGCTATAAATCACACCAAAGGAGATTGCTCATCTTTTTCAAACTGCCAGAGAGGCATAGACTTTGGCTTAGCACTGAAACTCCCTGCTACATCACTAAAGCTGTATAGGATCCTGAAATAGAGTAGCATGAAACCTCCTGGTATGTTGTTGTTCAGCATTGCTTTACTTATTTGTGATGTCTTTCCTTCCCATATAAAATCGATGATTTGTTTCTCCGTCTCCAGTATAGAGTCTGAAGTTTGATTACTTTGTATCTTAGTTGATAGGTGACATTGAGTCGACTCTGACTCATAGTGACCCCATCAACAATGAATCTGAACTTCCTCTATCATCCTGTGCCATTTTCATCATCTCTGATATATTTGAACATGTTGTTAACATTCACTGGGTCAGTCCTTCTTACTGAGGCTCTTTTCCATCTTTCCAAACTGAAGTCCTTTTCCAAGGACTGGTGCCTGATTCTAACAACATGTCCAAAATATGTGAGACGAAGTTCCACCCTCCTTGCTTCCAAGGAGACCCTAGCTGTTTTCTCCAAGGCATATGTGTTTATTCTCTTGACAGTCCATGAGATACTTAGTACTCTTTTCAAGCTCTGTAGTTCAAAGGCATTAATTCTTGTTTTGTAATGCTTAATCATTGTTCACTTTTCAAATGCATAACAAATAATTGAAAAGACTATGGCTTGGATCAGATGCACCTTAGTCTTTAAACTGACATCATTGTTCCTTAACAACGTAAAGAGGTACTTGACAGCCGATTTACCTAATGCAGCACTATAAATAATATTTGATGTTTTTGTAATATAAGTCATCCATGAACGTGATAGTGTTCTGCTTCCATGGATCTTACACTTAAGTCATACAGTTTTTAGTTCTTTTTGTATAAATTTTATATATATATATATATATTCATATATATATACACACACACACATTTATTTCTAAGAATTTTCTTATTTTAATAGCTACTGTAAATGATAACTATTTTCCTCTTTCCTTTTCAGTATTCTGTTTGGTAGTGTAGAGGAATTCACCTGATTTTTATGTTGATTATGTACCCTGTGACTCGCTAACATCTGTTGGTTCCAGCATTTTTCTCACTGAGTTTCCACAATTTTCTATGTATAGAATAGGGAAAATTTTCCTTTTTCTCTACCAGTTTGAGTATCTTCTGTTTCCCTTGCTGGATTTAGTGACCTGGCTAGGGCTTTCAATGTAATGTTCAGTAAGATTGGTGATAAAGGTACATCTTTGTTTGCTGCTCATTGGGAAGGGAATGTTTTCAGTCTCTACATTGACTACAAGGCTGGCTGATGGTTTTATGTTTATGTCCTTGATTATGTTGAAGAACTTCCTTTCTGTTCCAGTCTTGTTGACAGTTTCTATCTGGAATGGTGTTAGATTTTATCAAATGCCTTTTAATCGATTGATAGGATCATATGGTTCTTTTCCTTTGTTTTATTTATGTAGTGGATTACAATGTTTTTGTAATATTGAAATACTCTTATATTTCTGGTATGAGTCCTTACTTGGTTATGATACAGTATTTTTTTACATATTAATGATTTTTTTGCCTGTAATTTTGTTGAGGCTTTTTACATCTATGTTTATGAAAGTATATAATAATAACAACAACACTATTATTATTGTGTTAGTGGTATCTTTTCCTGACTTGATATTGGGACTTTTTGCTTCAGAAAATTAGTTTGGGAATAATCATTCTTTTATATGTTATACAAAACTAGTAGAATTGGTGTCAACAATTCTGTGGATGTTTTAAAGAATTCTCCAGTGAAGCCAGAGTTTTATTTTATTGTTGGTAGTTTTAATTTCTGACTTTAATTTGGGTATTTGTTGATTGGGTTTTTAAAAATGACCTGTTCAGTTTCTTCCTTTATCTGTCTGTTCAAATTATCTGTTTCAGTCTCTATTAAATTAGATCGATGCAGTTCTAGAAATCAAGGGTTTATTTTTCTAGATTTTCAAATCTGTTCTATTTTCTCATAATAATCCATTCTTTTTATTTCATTTAATAATATTGTGGAATTGTTGATTTTCTTGTTTGAGTTACTTTGATTTTTTTTTTGTTTGTTAGATTTGCCATTGGATTGTCAATTTTGTTAACCTTTCCAAAGAACCAACTTCTGTCAAAATTGCAAACTCAGAAATGGACCTATCTGAATTTGAGTTCACAATTTTTAAGTACTTCCCTTAAAAATTTTTTGTAGATTTGATATTGTTTTCACAAATGTCTTATATTTTTTCTTTTCTGAAAATGATCTGTTTTCTCCTTCATATTTGATGGAGAGCTTTATTGGGTACAGGATCCTCAGTTTGCAATTGTTTTCTTTACATTTTCTATATATGCCATCCCTTTGTCTTCTTGCTTGTGTGATTTCTGTTGAGACATCAGAACTTAATCTAATTGCTTTTCCTTTATAGGTAACTCTTTGTTTTTCTTGTGTTGCTTTTAGTATTTTCATCTTTTATTATATTTGACATGTGTTGATGTTTTTCTTTTTGGGTCTACTCTTATTTGGTATTCGCTGAGCTTCTTGAATGTGAATTTCCTGGTTCTTAATAATACCTGAGAAGTTTTCTTCTAGTACTTTCACAGTTTTCTCAGTGGTTTTCCTGAGATTTCCCTATGTACAGCAGCCCTAAACCTTGCTCTGTCCTGTGCCAATACCCCAGTCACTGAATCAGTCTATCTCACCCAGTGTCTTCCTCTCTTGTGCTGTCCCTCCACCCTCCCAAGCATGATATTCCTCTCCAAGGACTGGTCCCTACTTGCAACATGTCCAAAGTATGTCAGATGAAGCTTCAGAATCCATGCCTCCCAAAAACAGCCTGGTTTCACCCTCTGTTGGATGAACCTGTTTGTTCTCTTTGCAATCCATGGTATATTTAATACTCTTCTCCAACACCACAGCCCAAAGGCATCAATTCTCCTTCTGTCATCCCTAGTCATTGTCCAGCTTTCTGACACCTAGCAAGTAATTGCAAAAACTGTGGCCTGGATGAAGCACACCTTAGTCTAAACGACTGACATCATTGCTCTTCAGTATTCTGTAGAGACCTCTCACAGCAGACTTCCCCAGAGCAATTCGTCTTTTGATTTCCTGGCTCCTGGTACCAAAAGTGTTGATTGTGGAGCCAAGCAAATTGAAGCTGTTAATAATCTCAATCTTCTCACTGTCTACCATGATGCTGCCAATTGGTCCAAAGGTGAGAATCTTTGTTTTCTTGTTGTTCAATCCATATTGAAGGCTTCAGACCTTGACTTTCTGCAGCAAGCGCTTCAGGTCCTCTTCGGTTTCATCAAGCTTGGTTGTGTAGATTGTTGATGAATCTTCCCCTAATCCCTTTCCACATTCCTCTTTGCAGATCCCAGTATCCCAGATGATTTATTCTGTTTATAGATTGAAAAGTATTGAAATAGGACACATCCTTGGCATACACTCTTCCCAATTTTGAGCCATGCAGTATTTCCTTGCACTGTTCTAATGACTGCCTCCTAGTCCAAGTATAGGTTTTTAACTAATCACAATCAAGTGTTCTGGGATTCCCTTTCTTCTCAGAGTGAGCCAGTTTGTTGTGATCCACACAGTCAGATGCCTTTGTATAGTCAGTAAAACACAAATAGACATTCTTCTGTTAGTCTCTGCTTGCAGCCAAGATCCATCTAAGATTAGTTATAATAGCCCTAGTACCACGGCCTCTTCTAAAATCAGCCTGCACATCTGGCAGTTCTCTATTGACATGTT